AGAACCAAGATACATCATGTACAGGTACAAGCACCCAAAGATAAATGTAAATGTATTGTATACCTAAAATGTACCAGTAAAAGAATTTAAGAAAAAAAATCACCTATGTTAAGCTCTGCCAGACCACAAAGCTTTGTTGAAAATGGATGAAAGGGCAAATGCTACCCAGCCTCACATTTTTTTTTTTGGCTTTTTTTTTATATGGATATGCTCAAAGATTGAAATGTCTCCAAGAACCCATATGCTTGGGCTAGGAGTCATTTCCATGTAAGCATACACCTGAAAATATGACCAGATTTACTTGCCAAGGGTATAACTATTACTCAAGATGTGTAGCTCCAGGGGCTGGGGATGTAGTTCAGTGATTTCGAAGCCTGCTGTGCAAGTGCAAGGACCCGAGTTCGATCCCCAGTACCAAAAAAAAAAAAAGATGTGTAGCTCCAGCTGGGAGTGGTGCCAAATGGCTATAATCCCAGCACTCTGGGAGGCTGAGGCAAAAGGATCATGAGTTTGAACCCAGCCTGGGCAACTTAGCAACATAGCAACACCCTGTCTCAAAAAAATTTAAAAAAAAGAGCTCTGGTCATACAGTTCAGTTCAAAGGTTGTAGGTACAATCCTCAGTAACCACCCCCCCACACACACACAAAGTATGACTGCAAGATTTGATTGGTACTATACTAGGCACACATAATAAAAAAGATGTCAGAGGAACAAATAACACACCAGGCATAGCATATGAAACCCCTCTACCCTCCTAAAAAAGAGCACAGAATACGAATAAGAGAATACAAAAATGCTAGCTTTTCTTAAATTTCAGTGAGAATGCTGTTTGCCTGTTCATGTTATTTATTTACTTGCACTAGACTTTGAATTCTAGTGGAAGCAATCATGATGTCAACAGTCATTGAAAAGGGGCTAAAAGGTGGTTTTGTCCTGTCTTTCCTCTCCAGCTCACTTGGCCACATTCCCTTGAAAATAAGCTTTCATGTCTGTGCAAGTGTCCTAATCCCAGGCAGTTCAGCTGCTATTACTCACCACCCTGTAGCAGTCTGGTGGGCCTCTCATCCCTGCATCCAAAACAAAGCAGTCTCTTTTCTTCTGACATCTTCTCCCCACCTTTGGCTTCATCATTATCAGAGGACAAGGCCAAAGGTGGGTAGATAGAAAATGAAAGTGATCATTTCTAGGTGGAAGACTAATAGATGAAATGTAAGAGTCTGGGAAAGAAAAAGACCCAAATCCTCCTTGAGGGTGAGCAGTCACCTTTCAGCTCCTTGGGTAAGTTCCATTGCCCTGGTTAAAAGATCAGCACAGCTGCTGTAGGCTCATTAGAACATAATAATAAACACTTATTATAGTTAATGTGTCTTGAGTGCCTAGCATACAGCACATATGCAGCCATTTATGGGCCAATCTTACATGTTGAGCACATTTGTTGCAATCACTGTGCTAAGCCCTTTGAATGTATGCACTGACTAATTTCATATTCACAATGACCCTGTGAGGTCAGCCCTATTATTATTCCCTTGTTTACCTATGGAGACCAGTGTTCAGCGAGGTTGGTACACCCCACAGGTCACAAACAGTAGCAGCATTTCAGAATTCAAGCAACTCTGGGAGACTCCAGAGCCTGTAAACCGTGGTATGGAGGATGAATGGGACCAAAAACTTTTCCAGGGGAAGAGCTGGGAGAATTGTTAGTTCTAGAGATCTAAGAGTGGATTCTCACTGTTGGTTAGATGGCATTAGTAGTTGTCTGTAGAAGAAACCTGAGTCCTGGTGTTTCTTATTGGCAGGAGGCAAATCCAGAAAGGTCTAATCCTTTTAGGGAAATTGTGCACAGTCATACATAAACCCACTATTTAGTGTAAACAACCTGTCTCCAGTGAAGGGACTTTTGCAAAACTCTAGAATTCAGTAAGCAATAAATTTCCTTAAATATTTTTTTTTACTGGTGTAAACTTTGAAATACCTTATCAGATGCAAGAAAAATGAAGAGAAGGATTTTACTAACAGCACTCAAATATACTCAGTTGGTACATTTTGAATCAGCAAGAGGTAAATAGACCAGGAAAGTATAAGTCTCTTGAATGCATTTTTTCCCAGTACTTCTGAGCTTCATCAGGGTTTTGCTAGCAATCAGCGTTCATAAGACTTTAGATCCCTGTGTCTTGTCTGGATGAAGTTATTTGTAAACCAGTATGACATATGCCCCTATCAGAAATGTTTACACCCATGACATGGAAATTTCTGAGTCGTCCTAATGGGATGTGGAAAGTGCGTATGAAGTTGAGAAAGCTGTAACTTGTTTAGCTCCTGAAGATAATTGTCTTTAAAAATGTGTGTTTTGTTTTTGTTTTGATTTCTATTCTTTTTCCACATCAGTCCACAGTTTGGAAAGAGCTGTTGTTAGCAACGATCGGGGAGCAGTTCACAGACTGTGCCGCAGCAGGTAAAGAACCCTGGCTCAGGCCCTCTGTGCCTCCTGTCTGTTTGGCCCCTGCTTGTTTCTTGAAGAACTTTGGTTTTGTGTGTTAGATTTTCTGCATGATTTGAAAATGTTCTTTTTGTAATTGTGAAGCTAGATTTTTTTAATGTGATTTCAGTGTTCAGTGGTAGATATATGTGTATATTTACATTTGTATACAGTCAACTCTTTTATCTGTGAGTTCTGTACCCACAGATTCAACCAACCACAGATCGAAAATATTGCAAAAAACAGATTGTGTCTGGATTTAAACATGTACATATGTTTTTTCCTTGTACTTATTTCCAAAACAATATGGTATAACAACTGTTTACATAGCATTTATGTTGTTCAACCAATCACAGATCAAAAATATATAGTATTTTATAAAACAATATGGTATAACAAATGTTTACATAGCATTCATGTTGTATTAGGTTTTATATATACAGTAAGTCCTCGACTTATAAACATTCGAGTTGCAAACTTTCACAGATTCGAACGGACCTTGCATTACGAACATTTGTAGATGTGACCAAATCACCAAAGTAGCTCACATTTGCCGGACATTGTCACAGTTGTGCTGCTGTGTGCCTACTGTATGGTGAGATAGTGTAGAGTAGACCTGTGCTCAGTCAGAGCCCAGGATGTCTGGAAGCAAGAAGAAAAGCAGTGGTGACATGGGGGGACTGCTAGGAAGCACAAAGCAATAACTGTGGAAACAAAAGTGAAAATGATTGAGAGGTTGGACCAAGACAAAAAGATGGTAGATGTTGCTCATTCTTACAACATGAATTGTTCAACCATTGGCTCAATTCTAAAAAACAAGGACAAGATCATGAAATGTGAAGTTTTTTTATGCTTTACATGGTATATCATGTCAGAGGTGTATAAGACTCACTTTGTTGGACTTATGAACAAATCCCACTTATGAAAATTCTCCCAGAACGGGACTCTTTCCAAGTTGGGAACTTAACTTAACTAAAGATGATTTAAGGTATAAGCAAGGTTCAATACAAATACTGCAGCATTTTTTATAAGGGATTTGAGCATCCATGAATTTTGGCTTGGAGGGGGTTACTAGAACTAATTCCCACAGATACCAAGGGATGACTGTATAGTATACAGAGTCAGCCAAAAAAAATGTATGCATCAGGAAAAGATAACTTGTATAAATATTTTAATACTAAATTTATTGAGATATCATGAAATCAATACAAGTTACCTTTGGCCTCTACAATTACAAGAGATGTTCAAAGTGGTGGCCATTATCTTCCAGACATTTATTAGTACAGTGGACTCTAAATATGTACATATATACATCTATACATATTTCACTTTATAGCTCAATATTATCTAGAATGGCAGAAGAAAAAGAAAACTTTGCTATCAGCCAGACTCCTCACACAATTGTGGCAGGTCTCCTCTGGCTGTTCATCTCCTCCAGGAAGGAAAAGTACCTTTAGTGCCTAGTAGAGCTGGAGGTAGGCAGGCACATGTCCCTGTGCCCCTCCCCAGCCTCCCCTTCCTTCTGTGCATCTCTTGGTCTTGTTGAGAGGACTATTGTGGTAAGCAGGGATGTCCCACAGCTGGGGAGGAAATAAGTTCTCAGGACTTTCCAGCAGAGACTATCTTCAGATACTGAGTGGACTTCTGAGAGCCCCTTTAAGCACTTTGCTATGTTGTTTTGTTTTGTTTTGTTTTCGGTGCTGGAAAAAGAACCCAGGGCCTTAAGTGTGCTAAGCACTTGCTCCCATGTTCAGCCCCTCTGCCAGCTTCTCTGTGAGCACTTTTTGTTTTGCTTTGTGTTTATCATGAAACCATACTAAGAGAAGTTAACTGCTATTTAAAGTTTTGATTTCTTCTTAGGTTCCTCCTTCTGAATGCTCCTGAGGTAACATTTAGAATAACTTTTTTTTCTATTCAGCTTTCAAGTCGTTTTTTTTTTTAATTTACTTTTATTTGTTGTTAATTTTTGCTAGTTGGTTGGATCAGTTGGCCCTTGACCTCTTAGCTGGGACTGTTTTAGAGACCCCTTCCTTGCCAGTCCTGTGGCAAGTTCACATTCATCTCTCTAGCATTTCTCTACTTCCACTTTTTTTTACTTTTTATTCACTTATGACAAATCTTAGGTTGAGATAAAATTGTCTTACAAATATAGAGTCCTTCTGTTTCAATAGGGAGTCATTAACAACTTTATATATAATAGGTGGCCCAAAATGTACCGTATATATAACTATAAACATATAAATCCCTAGAAGGGAAAATATTCTGTATGAATGATTCCTGTTTCCAGAACTAGAGAAAATAGTGTAAGTAATAATAAATATCCAGTATTGAGTAAAGAAGTCCAATTGTTCTGTGGCTGACTTAGGAAGGAAGAGGACTATTAACTGTTAACTATTAGCTCTCCCATTAACTTGCTCTGCCCCTTGAAGCAAGTCAGCTAATCTTTCTGGACCTTATTTCTGTCACCTTTAATGACTCCTCCTGGCTCAACTGTCTTATGCTGCCTGAACCCAAAGGTAATCCATGTTTTGCTGATTGATTCCACTTATGAATATTACATGTTTGCTGATGGATCTGCCTTTGTGTAAGAGCTGAGATCTCTTTACCATGCCACTTGTGAAAGGCTGTGCTCTTAGCAGTGCCTCCTTAGCAAAAACCAAGCCAAAGTGAAAAAATGGCAGTTTGGCATGTTCAACACCTGTCAGCTACCTCACCCACTGACCCCAGGCCTCCCTCTTTATGTGCAGATTTTATTTTTACATAAAATTGTTCATTGAGCAAGCGTACTTGTTATATATAAATTTAAAAATAAGAAACCTATACCTAAGACATTTTTTCTTCATGGGATACTAAATTTCTAAAGTTGACCATGATCAGATACAGTGTGAGTTTGGGGGGGAACTTTTTGTTTTTAGTGTGACACAGATAACGGGAAAGTCTGCACATGAAATGTGTAGGAATTTATTAACACTGACTAAGTACTGTATATCCCTGTGACTGCCCCCTAGAATCTGCCCTCACCTTCCTTTCCTCCAAAGGCAGCTACCAATCCAACTTCTAGAACCACAGTCTAATGTTGCATGTTTTTGAATATTTCTATAAGCGGAGTCACTTAGTGTCAAGTCACACACATTTAGCCAGGATCAAATTCATTAGGAAAGAAGGAAAAGGAGGAGAAAAGGGGAGGAGAGAATGGAAGAAAGAAAGGGATTATTTCACTGATGATGATTTGAGTAATTAGATTTGCTCTTATTTAAATCACAGTCGAACATCAAAATATTTTAACCTCCAGAAGACCACTGGAAAAACCAATGGCATGAATATTTAGATTTATAGAGATTAGCAAATTCAGCAAAGCATATTACCTAAAGCAAAATTTCCTAATTTTGGTAATGCTTATCTTTCTCATATTACATAGTGGTGCCAAGGGTGGGAGTGCAGAAAGCTGACCCTATTTCATTAATGCTTTGTAAACATGAAAGCACAGACAGAAGTCTACACCCCTGTCAGTTCAGTTCTCTGCCAATTAGTATAAACAAGGTTGCCACAAGGTCACAGATAACAATACAACAGGCCTGACTCTCCAGCCACCATCCTCAAGTGTCTGCAAGGCAGCTCCAAATCTAGAATTTCACTTAAAAAACAAAGCCCACATGAATCAGTATAGAAAAAGAGATAATAGATGCTTTAATAAGCCTCACTCAAAAGACATATACTCTCACTCTAACCATCGTGCTAAAAGATGGTCATTTTTCTCTAGCTAACAGTAATACAACTAGAAGGGGATTGTTAGAGGGAAGCACCAGAGTGCAGGAGGAATGAATAGGGAAGAAGCGGACGAGCAAAGCGCAAAAAGCACATGTGCACCTGGGAATGCACTGTGGGCCCAGTGAGTACTGGGGCAAATGGCAGTAGCCACCCAAGGTCTCCAAAAGCTTGGCAGAAGTCAGGAGAAACTCATGCTGTTCTTAACAAAGACAGCCAGGCATCGAGGAAAAGTTCATTTAAGTTCACTTGGCTTTCAAAGGGCAGGGAATTATGCAACCCATTTTAGAAAAAGTCTCATCAAAACAGAGTAAGAAATAGAAAGCTTTGGTAACATGTTTAAAAGAGTAACATTACTTATCTGGAAAATGCATTTGGCTGGAACACTTTGTTTATCTAAATCCCTGGATAAATGTGATGCGACTACTACAGCTTTTTGTACTGATTTACTTTTTTCCAATGATTCGCCAGGGAAGCAATTATTTATTACAGGTTTTCATGTCACCTTCTTTTTTCCCATCTTATCCAGAACTTACAGATAAAATAAATAGCTACTTTAAAATAATTTGATTCGAAATTATCACTCATATCTTTTTTTATTTTTTTCCTGTCTTCCCCTCAGATGATGAAGTAATAGGAGTCAGCGTCAGTGTTCGCGACCGTGAAGATGTCATCCAAGTCTGGAATGTAAATGCCTCTTTAGCGGGTGAAGCGACTATTTTAGAAAAGATCTATGAACTTCTGCCTCACATATCTTTTAAAGCTGTATTTTATAAACGTAAGTGATTCATTTCCAGTTATTACTTTCTAGCTTGTCCTGTCATACTTTAAAAACAGAAACTGTGTTGCAAAGGAGGTAAAGACAGAATCACTTAAAATTCTAGAATTCAGAAAATAACTAAATAAAACACATTTAAGTGTTTTTTTAAAAGTCTAGTATCAGAAATTAAAATGAGATTTTATTCTTGCCTAACCTTTTGTATCAGAAAAGGAAATTCACATTGTATTTGTTTTTTCCAAAATTTAAACCTGAATTTAAATTTGTCATTCTCAGAAAAAAAAATTGCATTCTGTTGGAAACAACAATAACAAAAATGTCATTATGTGAGCTGGCAGGTAGATATTCAATCATCCCTTCCTAAACAGGGATTTATAATGTATAACATCTGTATTTGTGGAGGAAACTCATTCAGAGCACAGGCATGATTGAATGTTCTACTGAAATGCTAATGCTTCCTTATTACTGATGCCTGTGACACAGAATCTAAAGAAAATTCACACATCGTGGTGAAATGCTAACAATATGAATAGGTGTGTGGACCCATTGTTTCCATCATGATTCATGTTCATTGCTTTTGTGTGCTCTTTTGAAAAAATCATCTTTTTCATAATGAAAACATCTTACCAGTGTTAAACCAATGTTTGGTGGATCAAGCTGCAGGTTATACTTTTAACAGTGAGTTTCAGAAAAGGATTGACAGCCCTAAAGGATTGATAGATGTGATAAATTTCCTTTGTCCTAAACTGTACCTGAAGTCATTAATCCATTTTTAAAACTATGATATTTCATCAAATCTAAGATGTTCTTGATGATAAGATGCCCCATTATGTTAGTGTCACTAAGAAAGAAAAAGAAAATAAGCTGGTCATTCCAAAGGTCTTCAGATACGCAAGGGAGGTAGTGCGACAAGGAGCATCTTAGAATTGCTAAAATACACTATATTAATGTCTCACTTTTCTCAACTCCTTGCCAAAAAAGGATTTAAAAAAATTTACTTTTGTCTCACGATTGCCCTAGAATGATAGCAGATATGAAGACTCAGGCCCCCCTGTAAGGAATCACACAGTTACCAGCCAGTGATTCAGGCTTTACACAGACTGACCTGGTCTGCACTTATCAGGAGGCACAGATCCTCTGAATTTTACAGCACTGCATATGTTGCCTATGGGGTGTGCAGTGTGAAAACTGCAAATTTGTTGATCCATTTTTACTTTTTAGGGATATATTAATTGTATTCACCCCAGATATTAATTACAAAAGGAAATGTGATTCATTATAAATGGTCTTTTCCTTATCACTTTGGAGGTAGTCTCACACTTGACTCACAGGAGGAGAAATGCAGTTGGATTCAGTAAGTCAGGCACTGGATTTTTGTCCCACTTTTCAACAGTGTGACCTTGAACACAGGTTACAATTTCCCATCTTTCACTTTCTCATTCTAATATTGAGGAAGTTGGTCTTAGATGATCTCCAAAGTTCCTTCTACTTCAGGATTCTATGAATAAATTTCCATGGTACACATTGGTTAGCAGCAGTTTAGCAGGATGTTTTATCAGATAATTAGGCCACCGAGCAGTTAGGCTGCTTTTTTAGGGCCATGATAATCATGTAGGACTGACCAAGGGTGGGATAATGATTCATCTCTTAGCTATCGTGATAGCTGGGGGGGGAAGAAAAAACAAGCCAAATAGGGAGAAAGAAAGTTACAACTTGGCCTGTTGAATCAAGCTGAATAGACACCCTAAAGGTAGACGCCATTGTCAAATTTGTGAGTAATGGCAACAGGTCTCAGCAGAAATCATATTTTAATGGCACAAATTAACATTTAAAAACTCAAGGATTATTCAAGTTATATTTTGAATTGGGAAAAACAAGCCATTCTCCTTATTTTACATAAAGCAGGCAGTCCTTTGCTCAGCAGGGTTATATACCATGTGCTGCAGAGTAATTTAGAAAAATGTGATCTGGGCAGAAATTTGTTTCACAGCATGATTTAGAAATGACCAACTCGTGCTTTTATTTTGTCTTTTAACAGAATCCTGGTGTAAGTATTCACAAGTTTATAAAAGCTAGATGACTGTAGCTTTTCCTGGTATATTCAGTCATGGCATCCAGTGGATGGATAGGATTGGGCCATTATGAATTATGTGATTTCAATACAGACTGAACATTTGAGTGAGAAATTCACAGTCTCACACACATACACCAGTTCTATCAAGTTCTTCAGAGTAGCTGAATTACAAATGTCTTTTCCTATGTATTATTTAGAAGAGGAGTTAGAAAAGCAGGAACCTCCAGCCAAATCTGCCCCTCTTCCTTTCTCCCTTTCCCTCCTCACCTATTTATGTATGGGTGCAATAAAGAACAGTTTTTAAATGTTTAAATAGTTGGAAAAAATCAAGAGAAGAACTGTATGTTGTGAAAGAGGAAAACTATTTGAATATCAAATCTCAGTGTCCATAAATAATTTTTGGTTTTTTTTCTTTTGATGGTTGGGATGGAACCCAAGGCCTTATACACAGATGAGGCAAGTGCTCTATCACTGAGCTACATTCCTACCCCCATTGATATATACAAATGCCCACTTGTATTCATATTTTCTGTGTACCTTTAGAGTTACAATCAGTGCTACTCTCAGAAAAGGCTTGCTGCCTCCTGGTTTAGCAGACATTCTCGCCCATTCCTGTGGGGCTTCCCTGAAGCTGGCAGCTTGCACCCTGGTGCTCAGACAAGGCTGCTTTGAATGGTCTATACCACTCTCTTCTTGGCCCATAGACCTCGCAGTATTTTAGCAATGGCTGCCCCTAACTCACACCCAAAAGTAATAAAAATGTGTGGATAGTCCACGTCACTGGATTTATAATTTGTATATCAACATAGCTATCATTCTGTGGCTCCTCTACCTGACCCTGAAACATAATATATTTTACTGCAGACCAAAGCTGGGTTTTTTGGTGGTGGTACTGGGGGTTGAATCTTCACATTGAACTACATCTCCAGCCTTTTTTTAAAAAAATTTTGAGACAGAGTCTTGCTAAGTTGCCCAGGCTGAAATTGAACTTTCCATTTTACTGCATCAGCCTCTCAGAGTGCTGGAACTACAGGCATATGCCACCACACCCATCTTCCCAATCCGTGTTTTGTTTTGTTTTGTTTTGGCTTGGTTTGGGGTTTTTTTAATGTCTGCCCTAAAACGTTCTTAAAAACAAAAAGACAAAAACAAAGTGAAGTATTTGTAACTATAACTGTTAGAAATGTTTGATTAAATTAGGTCAGATTTAGGCCACCCTTAGAAATTTGACCAACTCAAAATAATCCTGGGAGCTACGAGACATTTTCCCTGATGTTTTATCCAAATGAAGAGCCCTGCTGGAGTACACACAAGGTGATCTTGAGAACACTCAGCAACAGTGTAAACAAGTTAGTCCATGTTAAAAACAGTAAGGTAGGAAGGGCTTCAGAGGTGAAACAGGCCCATCTATCTGTGTTTTCCTAGAACAACATTCACTGCCAGTGAGATGGGGGTGGGGACAAAGCAGACAGGATCTTGAATCACCCCTGGCTTTATCAGACTTTGCTTCATAGTGATGGTTAACCAAATCCAGGAAGTGAATTTTCAAATGTGGCCTTCTGCTGCAAAAGAAATGTTCTATGTTTCATAGGTCTCCCACTTCCTGTCTTCCACTTATATTTTTTTTTAATCTTTAAAAATATTTTTGATTACATAATTTTAAAATTCTAAATTGCCTAAGTATAATCAGCAATTTTGCAAGCCAGATAGGCTGAAAAATCCATGAGGGGAAGATCCCATCAATTTTGTGGAACTTAATTTCCCACAGAAGGTGTTGAGAAGTATTGGAGGGTGGGGGTAAATAATTCGTATCACTCTTGTGTGGTTCTTTCTTTGATTTTATTTTATTTTTGTGTTATTTATTCTTGAAGATAGGCTTGTGAATGGCTCTGTCTTAGGTAAGATAGGCTCCTTTCCCATGCGTTTTGTGGGGTGCACTTGCCTGCAGCATTTGCCTGGAGCCCAACATATTCTCTTCATCAGCTTGTGGGGATGAATCATCCTCCCAGCACAATAAGAAGAAATAGGCAGCATGCCCATTGCTTGTTTATTCCTTGTTTTAATTTTCATTATTACGTTTCTCAGGAAATGCACGCCTTAGCTAACAGTTACTGGCAAAAAAGGTATTTGAGTTCTTGCCAAGATTTGGGGAAGCTGAATGAGATGCCTAGAGGAGGGTTGGCCCATCCTTTGCTTAAAGTTTTCTTTCCTTTTTTTCTTTTTTGTTTTTTTCTGTCCTTTAGCCCATGAAGAGCATCATGCTTTTGAAGGTGGACGTGGAAAACACTAATTGCACTCTGTAAAGAATTCTTTGTCCTTTGCTGATTGGTTTTGGAAACGGTCTTAACAGGAGGGAGAGTGAAGAGAAGACTTGCCGAAGCCCGATGCTGGTCCATTTAGAGTGGGTTTCTGTGCTTGCAGATTGGGCAATTAGGACTCACAGTGGCAGGTGGTGGTGGGGTGATTATGTGGGTTTCTACCATCGTATTACTTGCTTTTTTTTAAATATATTTTTTTAGATTTCTAAATTCTCTGTTCTATTCACTCAGATTTTTTCCCTTTAAAATTCCTTATTCAGGCTAATTATTGTTTTCTACACTCCCCTTTCATTGAAGCACAAGAACTTGGTTTCCTTTTCAGTAGCTCTGTTGTACCTCCTTAATGAGAATATGCGTAATCATGACAATCCAGCTTTTGAAACCACATTGTACCAGGAGGAATACTAGCTTGGTGAAACCTGTCTTCTGGTTATTTGTTGTGACACATTCCTATGTGCTGTGAGCTGGGCATTGTTTTTTGTTGTTGTTGTTGGGTTTTTTTGTCCTAGGAAAAAGAAAAACCATATTTAACCTGATTTTGCACTGACAATGTACATATCTTTTATTTTTCCTTTATACAATAATATTTAGTGATAAAAGGAAAATAATATTTGGTTTGGCTAACATAAAAACTATAATCACAGTTCAGTATCAGGATCAAACTCTAGGTCTTCGGACCCTCTGTGGAAGTACTTCTTACCAAATATAGATTTGGCCTTTTCAGAAGTTAGTAGCAAGGGATTTCTCCAACAGAAAACTTGATATTTCTGATTTAAAGAGGTGTTATTTTTTAATTGTTTGAATTAAGCTTCCAAAGTTTGGATGTGCTTACCCACTTAGAACTTTCCAAATCAATTCTAACACACTTTGTTAAATAATCCCTCTTTCCTGCTCATTTTATGTCATTTCTGATAATCAATGGCCCCTCCAACCTGGGCAATTTATCCTTCCATTTCATGTAGGAGCAGGAAGTCAAAGCATGTGAGCATTCACAAAGTTGAGCTTAGGATACCTCCTGTCCATATTAATTGTTGGAATTGTTCATATACATGGTATTATTCTACCAAGAAGTGCTGGTTTTAGTAGATGAAAATGGCCACCCTCTCAAACACTAGATTGCTCAGAATATGCCATGTCCCTCCCTTGACTTTGCCAAGCCTCTGGGTGCTTTTCCCTGAGAAGGGGCAGACCTGTTGGAGATGCCTCCTCCTGTTGGCTTGTTTTGGGAGACACTGGAATTTGTGTGCAGTTAATATATTTCTCAAAAGAGTGATGCCTTTAGAATGTCATTGTGCCCAGGATTTTTAATTCTTCTTGCAGTGTTGACCAGTAGAGAGAGGTGGGACTACTCCAAACCTCCCACATATATTTATAAAGTTCTCCTTTCAAACATTGTAAATGACTCCCAACCATATACATTTATTAGAGTTGTGCCCTTCCTTTGAATTATTAACTATACCAACCATAATAACAACCATAGTTTTAAAAATTACTCTTTTCTAAAGCTGAGTTTTCTCAGCAATTTCAAAATGATGTCTAAGGATAGAGGATCCCTTTAGCAAAACCTGGGACTTGTTGCTCTAAAAAATGTACATTTCTTTAAAAATTCAACTTGTTTTAAAATTTTTCCTCAAGGATTTAAAACAATTATTCTGGACATGCGTTGGAAGTTCTTTTTGTAATATAAATATTTTTCTGGTTGATTAGAAAAAGGATATAACTGACTTAATAATAATTGTCATATATTTCCACAAGTAGATGAATTTTTATTTTTGAACGTTATTTAAAGCATTTGTGATGATGTGTTCAACTTTTGCATGTATGAAGCATTTGAAGTAAAAATAAAATGAAATAAATAGGAATATTAGGCTCATGTTAATGCTTTCTAGTTTCTATTGTTTATGATCATGGAACCTGACAGGCTCACACAGTAGATTTTTATCCCATCAAACTTCTGCAACTATTTTTGACCCTTTGGAAAATACCAGCTGTGAGGAGGATTTAATTTGCCTCATGTCAAGAACCTATCATCTAAATTACTTGAAGAGTAGATTTTGTCAGATTTTGCTTTGGAAATTGTTTTAATTGAATATTTAGTCATAACAGACTTTGTGTGAACTAAGCTGATTTAATCAGTTTTAAAACCTCTCATTATCTTCTTAAAGAAGCTAATACTCTTTGAGATAGAAGGAAATCGTTCGGGGGCATGTGACTGTGTTAGGGCTCTCCACCCCTCATGGCCAGTGCTGGGGAAAGTGTAAACTTTCTGAAAATCTGGGTCCTTTTAGCCAAGTCCTTCCCAGGCAGCCTTGTGGTCTCCACAAAGAGCCCTACAGAATCCAAAGAGCTCACTCTCTCCTCTTGTAATTCCTCAGGGTCTGTGAGGCAGAACCAGGAAATCTGATTGAAGCTGATATGTGTCTTCTCCTCCCATTATTCCCCTGATTGCCGCATCACAAGTGCTTGCTTACACTGGGAAAATTTCACTCTTTAAATAAGAACAAATAATTAGAGCTTGTCCATGAAACCTATCGATTGTCTTTTGTAAGCATTTTCTGAAGTGCTGGAGTACTCAATTTTAAGATTTTTCTCCTTCACCTCAACTTTCCCTCATTTTTGAAATGACATTATAGTTTACAGCAGATGTGCACATTTAATATAATGTTGCTATTAAATTCATGGTATAATTGACAGAGAAAAAACAAAAGAAAAACATGACCCAATAAACTGTAAGGTTAAGTTCCCTGCCCACCTTACACTCTGCTTTAGCTGGTGTCCACACTATGCACATGGTCAGACTTTATGGTTGAAAGAAACTTTAGATGTAGCTGGGTCCAGTAGACATAATATGCACTCTTGTAACTAAGCCTTGACTGAACTTGTCCCTCCTTAAGGGCCGTAAGGTTAGCAAGCAGCGTAGCTTGGTCTGTGAGCTACATCCTGGCTCAGGCTTCTGTTTGGGAGAATCCTCACATCTGCCAACCTAACCTCACCAACAAGTCACCCTTGTCAGCAGCACTAAACATCTGACCCAATCCTGGTCATAGATGTGACCACACAATCGTACATCTCCTATAAGCAGCTCCTAATTCTCTGCCGCTTACTCTTGGGGACCAAAGTGGTGTTAAGGTTTATACTCTGGAAATCGTTCCACCACAGGAAGTGGGCTTTGCCATCAGATGCAACTCTCCTGGAGGAGCCCACTTCTGTACTGACACAAATCTGACAACATTCACAATGAGCACATGGTGGCGCTGCCTTCCAGCCAACAGCTCTGGACCAGCAGAATTTATCCAGCTATATTTACAGAATTAAGATCCTATCACATTTGGCCCTTAGGAGTTTAGCAAAATTTGATTAGAAAGTGTAAGAATTATACTTAGTGATAGACATTCAGCATTCATACACCTCATAAAAATGTTTCAAACATAGAACTTTCCAGACATGCTTTAAAAAATCCTAGGCTCCCATTGTCCCTATAAGCAATTGCAAACAATAAAACAAACATACATATGAGAAATATGGAAAATAGTTTACCAAATAGTGTGCCCAAAGGTAATAAATCAGGATTTGATTTTTTTCTTTTTAGCTCTCTGCATATAGAACTCTTTTTAAAATATAAATCTACTCCTTTACCTTTCTTGTTATTTCTATGATTTTACTCATTATAAATCAAAGTAGAGGACTGCCTGTATATTGTTTATTTCTTAATATATTGAGCTCAATTACAATTCAGAGTGGTGGCTCATGACAGTAAATGGATTCTTACCTCAACAGCCAGGAGGAGACAGAGTAAAGATAAAGACAGGAAGCAGGAGGTACAGAGAAAAGTCCCTGGTAACCTGTGCTCCAGTGTAGCAATTAGTGAGCTTTCCCCTGCTGCTTTCAAGAAAAGAAATCCCAAATAGATTCCTCACCCATCTGATTGCACTATTCTGGGCTTAGTGTCTGTGATTTTTTACATATGCATCAAGATCTAAGATTTATTTATTTAACCCATTAATCCCCCAAATCACCATGTTTCATGGTGCCAACCTGACTCCGTTTTAAAAAGAAAACTCAGAAACTCTTAGAATATGAGAATGGAAGGAACATTTGAGATCATCTACCAGGGCTTCTTGCCCCTTAAGATACTGAAAAATTACTAGGGTGCTTACTTGGCATGCACATTTCTCCACCTCACCTAGATCTGGGAGGCCTAAATATTTGCAATCTTAGCTAGCACCTTGGCGGCTAATGCCAGTGGTGGCTCAGGTCTCACTGAGAATACTTGATTTTATCCAACCTCTGTACAACAGATGAGGAAAGACCCTCACCCCTAACCGCTCTCACATACTCTGATTTGAATGTATTGCACCAACAATCTTATGAAAGCTAGAGAAAACCATTATCACGAAGACTTCGTAAATGATGCTCATAAATAAGAACTTTACAGCTAGGACCACAGCAATCATAAGTAGCCCATCTCTGGAAGTCCATAATATAAAATTTTTAATACAGAATGGTGGCTTTTCTCTTTTATAAATACCATTTCAGCCTGTTAAGAGAAAAGAAATTAATGTTCAGAAAAGGTGGTTACTCCATATGTGCAGCAACTACTTTTCTATAATGTCTTATGGCATCTGGGGTTCAGCATCATTGAACAAGATTAAATGAATGTTATAGAGCTATAAAATTGCATGTAAAATAACGCAAAACTGTTCATATGACTATCAAAGTAGCCTGGGAATGAATTTCCACTAAAATTAATTGCCACTTTCTAAATGTAGCTTAGCAAAGCTGTTACTAAACTAAAGGGATTCTTTAATACACAGAAGTGTCAAAAATAAAATAATTATTCCCCAAACCATGTGAATGACAAACAGAAGCCATTGTAAAGTCAATATTTTTTTGTTCATCATTGCTACTGAAATTTAGAGTCCCATTGTATATGTGTGTGTTGAATGTGCCTTATTAGAATATCCAATAATGTAGCCTTTGGATATTCTATGCTCTGTGTCCTTCAGAAATCATGAGGTTGCAGGAATTTGTGTTAAATGTTTTCATTTAGCTGCTGCCTAAAAAAAGTTGTCAAATCATTTAATGAATTGCAAGATTTCACTTTTACACTTCTAATACTGAAGTCAGAGAATTTTTCTTGAATTTTTGGAACAAGTATTTCTTTGGGTTTTATTAAATGGAAAACTGCGTTACAGAAATGAGAATGAAGTAAATATGAGTGTTTCTGAGTTTTCTATAGAAATTACCTGTAATCTTTTTACAGACAAAAAAGCAGTTTTAATAACAGTTTAAGAGGGCAAAAAGTTTAGTTTTAGCACTTTTAAGTGGGAAATACTAAAGAATTTAAGAGTTTTATTTTAATAAATGTAGAGTTTCTATTTTCAAATGCACTTACTTATTTTGTGAGCATCCACTAAATTCTTCCCAGATTCCTAAGACTTTAATCAGGTAATGTGGCTTTTAATAATTTTATGATTTTATTTTAAAGTTGTTGATGCTATCTTAGTATTTTTTATAACAAGTCACCATAATTTTTCATGTATCATCATGGAGAATTTAATTTCATTTGAATATTATACAAAAGAATTTCATATTTAAACTAGTGAGCACTCTTCAGCTGAGACATCTAGCACCATTTGTCCCAAATTTAAAGGCTTATCAGTTGCCTTGAAAGCTATTCATTCTTCAGAGCAATCTTACCTGTGTAAGTTGAACCAGGTTCATTTGCCTTATGTTTTGGATCTTCTTGCCCCGCCCCCATTTTATACCATCTGTGCCCCATGTAGTCAGGAACCCTTCCACATCTGGCTACAAGCTGGCGTAATGCCCTTTCTTTTGATCTGGTTTCATCTAGTGATTTGCTCAGTATTTTAAGGTCAGACTGAAAACTTTTCTGATCTAGTTATTTTTGATTTTATATTGTGTGTTGTGTTTGATGTTCAGATATATGTGAAAGTTGCTTCTATAAGTCAGTAATTTTTATTCCAGCCTTTTGCAGCAGTAAGGTAAGACTAGTCTGTACTTTTCTTCCTTGAAAATGTAGTGATTTATGTGTTTAGTGCAAATGTTGATCCATGGAGAAGTTCTTGCAGTTTTCTAATCTATTGTTATGAATTTGTGCTCCCTCCCTTTGCAAGTTACATTTTTATGGAGTGTGTTTAAGTGTTATTAAAATTTGCAGAACTTTATTTTGAGATCTTTCCTAATCTCTTGTCACTAATTCTCACTCTGTATTTGGGGTTTTGTACTATAAAAATATCCTTTTCATCCACCAGGTTGAAAATTCTTGCAGTTTTGGCAACCACATTGTGTAATCTTAGTTAGGATACACGTATGTGTGTGCTGATTATTCAAACACATATTGGAACTTTCTCCCCAGCTGCTCTAATGTATGCACTGTGCCTGACAAGTTCACTTCAGTAATCTGATGAGAAGCAACTATTTTTATTTTCCACTTCCTGAAGGAACACAACCATAGGTCTCATCTTGGTCTCTTAGAAAACAAATCTTGCTTACTTTAATTCTTCTTCTTTACACTTTACTCAGAATGGTTTCATGTTAGAGTAAGCCAGTTACTCTTGTTCTTTTGTGCTACATTTGATCCTTGTGATTCAGCTGCCCCCTGCCCAGCCAGGCAAAATGAATTTACTCTTCCTTTCTGGCTAATAGATTCCTTTCAAAATAAACAAAAATTCCAGTATACTCTCATTTCTTCTTCTGTTCATCTGAAGACTTTCCTGTCTCTCTGTAGGAGCAAGCAAAGCAAGATTATGCATGTGATGCACAATTAATTTTAACATAGCAAATTTAATGAAATCTTTGAGGGACAGGACATAACACAGTAAAGGCTTTAAAATTTCATAATGCCTCCTTCTCATATTTGAGTCTGATTACTGCCACCATGCATTCTCTGTGGACTTTATCATCTAGTGGTTACTGATGTTCTCAGTTGTTTTATTAGCATGGACTCTGCCTTCCCACCTAATGTGTGGTGTTTCGGAGGCCAGCACCATGCTTGCCTTTCTTTTCTCAGTGATTGTTTTAGTGCAATAATTGCTGCTTTTAAAAAGCCAAAACTTTTTACTAATGAGTGTATTAAAAATTTCTGGGGCCAGGGATTTAGCTCAATGGTTTCGCTGCCTGCGTGCAAGCGCAAGGACCCAAGTTCGATCCCCAGTACCAAAAAAAAAAAAAAATTCTGGAATGCTACAGGATAAGTCTTTTGTTACAGGAAGAAAAGAAAACAGTAGCATTTACAAAGCTCAGCAAGTTCAAATATATATCATTGAAATATATTTCTATTTCCCATCATCTAGCTGGGCTGTGGTGCTGACTAGCTTCTCTTTTGCCAGAGAAAATAAGTTTAAATCATAAGCATATTTAACCAGTAGGCATAAATCATGAGCCTTTATAATGATAACCACATTGAACTCTGTATCATTTGTACAGATGGTATGGCTGAATGTGTGTGCTCCTCCCAACAGTAAAGATGTGGACAAGCTCTTACTCCCCAATTTCCTCCTGAACTCAGGAAACTTAAATCACTTGGTTTTTGCACATATAGGATTCTATAAAATATGGAGCTAGAGGGAGGTTTCAGGTCTTAGAAAACATGTAGGCTTTGTGATTTTCTCTTAGTAGAGAAGGATGATAGAAATGACAGTGAAACACTAAGGCAATATTCCCTTTTAAGGCAAAAATAAGTGGTGAATCATGACAATAGATAAGTTATAAAGAACAAGACTTTGGTGTTTTCAGTGTATCTTTTTAAAAAATGAACATTACAGAATCAAATAAAATTTTAGCAGAGGCTCATGAGCCTGAAAGAGCATTGCCTAGAAGGTTGATTTACAGACATTCTTTCAGATACTGCAAACAAAGTTCAGATCATAAGAAACACATCCTCACTGATATGTATTGCATTGCAAAATTTTAGCATTTGGGAAACCAGTAAGCATTCATATAGGTACTCATTGATTTTATGAAACATCACTTTTTAAAAGTTGTATTTTAAAGGTACAGAAAGCTACATGGGACAAATATGTAAGTGAATTGTTGTAAGAAGAATACTTTTTTAACAGCAGATCAAGAAATAGAATTTTGCCAGTCCCACCAGGGGTCCACTTCATGTCTCTCTCTCTCTCCCTCATTAAATAGTCATAGTTCTGATCTAATCCCTTCCTTATACTTCTCTCTGGCTCTATCACAAATGATAAACACCAGTTTTATCATTTTAATTATGGAAGCAACTCTACTAATGAACATTGGGTTCATAAAGGTTATTTATAATCCTTTAAATGATAAGTAAAAAGGATGCACTTTAAGCACTTGCTACCCCCATAAATCAGGGCTTGGGTAAAGTTGGACATGCTTTCCTATAGTATACAGCTCTGTTCATACTAATAATATCAATACTAATAATACTAATACTAATAATAATATTGATTGGATTCCATGCCCTAAAATTATTCCTCCTGCAAGCCCTACGAGGGAGATATTATTGCTCCAATTTTCTGTGGATGAAAACTGAGGCTTCACAGAGGTGAAATAACTTGCCCAACACCACATAATTACTCATGTGCAGAGCCAAGATACATCTGTGGCTCTATCTAGCTTGTTCTAATTCTAGGATGCCTTGATGAAAATTGAATATTGCAATGGACAAGATTTCTTAAAAGAGTTTGTTTTTAAAGAAAAGGATCTGTCACTTTAAGACAAAGGTAGAAAAATTTCTGGCCTAGTTCAAATTTGTCCTTCCTCAGATGAAGAAATTATTCAGAAAGTACAAAGAACTTGTTTAAAGTCACACAGCAGTTTGTGGCAAAGTTCCAACCAGATCCCCAAATCTCTCGGCTGTTAAAAAAAAATCAGCAATCTTATATGGAAAAAGGATACGTTTTCTAACCTGCCTCTTTGCAGCAGTCACATATGAGCAGATTTATCTTAAAAGTAGTTCCCAGTTAGGACACAACATCCACTTGCTTATTTTCTCAAGGTTTTAACTGAGAATTTAAAAATTTATATTTGAAATTTGCTTTTCTGTCTCACTTATTGAGTGCCCAATCTGTAGGCACACATGCCTAACACTCTTCTCTGAAGAATATACAAGAATAACACATTTGACTGGTGTGGATGGCAGGTGAAAAAGAATTACTGGTGTAGTGTGTAGGCCCTTCAGCATATTCATGGCCAATTCTGGATTATCCCAGCACAGATGGATCATGCAAAAATCCCTCTTCCACTTCTTACTGGTGACCTTTAACTATTTGTGTTTGCAAATGCTTCTATCAGAGATTATAAAGGAGAAGAGCAGAGAAGATGGATTTTGGTTTCTTGACCAGAATATTAGGTGTCCTAGTAAAATAGTTGGTGGTTTCACCATATTTAAAACTATAGAAAGATTGTGGGATTCTCTCTGAATTGAACCAACCTATGATGTCCAACTTAGCATTGAATAATCAGAAAGAAACTGGGATATGCATCCTTTTAGCTTGTGCCTTTAGCAAGTTACTTACCTTCTGTAAGTCACAGTTTCCTCATCTTTACAAAGGAGAAGTAGAGCTTCTTCAAAGCTAGTAACATAAGCACACAGCTCATGGCCCTTCCACTGGTTGGCTGTTATCAATTTATCCATACTGTAAAAAGAGTGAACTGATCCAAGGAACTTTCTCACTTTACCCTTGTGGTATTGGTCCAGCTTACTTTGTTCATGGTCTCATGAGTCTTTGGTGGCAGTACTCTAGCCAAACCCACACAGACTCTTAACTGCTTATTTATTGATCTTTGTTCTCCATCATACTATAATGGGAAAAACAAATTGCAATTTACTGAGTTTTCTGTGTACCTGACTTGTGAGTTGATTTACCAAGAACCAATTTAAAACCTGAATGGACTTTCTGAGGACATTGTTGCCAACATACCAAGGAACATAAGAAGGAAGTTTAGTAGATGAAAATGTTTTCCAGTCTAAACAAATTCTTGCTGAAGCATTAATGTCGTATTGTCCACTGTGGATTGGCAATATTCAAACTTGTCATTGCAGGCTAATTTGGGGTAGCTTCAAGAGTTCCCTGTATTACATGCAGATTATTTTAATCATGGATACCTTAAAGGAAAAGTTGATAGACATTAGTATACCTGAGATATAGACATATGCAATATTGACCCAATCTGCAAGTATTTAGTGAACAACTATGATTGGCTATGCAAATAAGCAAAAATAAACAAGTCCTTGTCTGTGCTTCCTAGAACTTACACTTTAGAAGATTGAGAAATATTAAAACAACTCCTAGACCATAAGTACAGGAAGTCTATCATAACTTTGGGTTCCACATACCTGCCATATAGTATGAACTCAACCCATGTTGGAATAAAGCAATGTTTGGAAGTTATTTTAAGTAGGGATTTGATTTTTTTTTTTTTAAAGTCAAAATAGCCTTAGATTCCTAAAGTTGAGTGTTTTCACTAATCTCATTATTTTAATATTCTGTAATAATAGTTTAGACACTGGATTCAGTAACCACAGAAGCTGTTTATAATTTGTTGGCACTTTTCAAACCATCTTTAAAACCCAAGTGAGTCCCTGACTTTTGCTCTGTAATTCATTGTATCTTTACGTGTATACCTGAGAGGCAGCAATCATAAAAAAGGCCTCTGTGCACCAGCATGTTAAGTATGGGGATTCTTACACTGTGGAATGTATAAAGATTGCTTAGTCTGTAATTTTTTAAAGCTCCGTAACTCCTTATAAAGCATATATAGCATCTGAACAAGAAATATGACACTAAGTCTAGGATTAAATAATATCTTGGGGCCACTACCTTATGCATTTTCAGCAGTTTGGGAACACCACTAAGTGCAGGTTAACAAGACCAGAGCATCATAAATGAGCATCTGTCCCATGACCCAGCTGGAGACCCCTTCCGATTATTCATTCCAGAAGCACGTGCTGACACTGAGTTCAGCCCTCTCCGCTCTCCCACTCACAGTGGTCTTTTAAGATTGGCAGGAGGTCAAATCCTCCCACCCCCACGCTTTGCAGAGTGGTTAAATGTTTTCTGGATCTTACTTGATTTGTGGCCCTCAAAACTCTATTTTAACAATTAAAACAGAATAAGGTTTAGGGGAGTGGGCTAGCCAAGGAGCAGCCAACTCAGAACACTGGTGTGGAAAAGGTTTTAAAATGAAGGGAGGGGGGAAGTGTTTTAAATGAATAAAGGCAGCTCAGTAGAGAAGAACTTGCTGGATTCCACAACACCGCTGTTTTGCCCGCTGACCTGGACTTGGCAGCCCAAGTTCATCCTTCCACTTCAAAGGACTGGCTCTGAGCAGATCACACATTCTCCTTGATGACAAATTAATCAAACTTGATTTCTTGGATGAGATGGATACAAAAGGACTACAACTCCCCAAGGCCCGAAAGTCAATACAGCCCTTCTGGCTCTGATTAGGGTAACAAAAGGATATCTGAGAGCCATCTTCCTCCTGCTCCCGGCTGTGGGATGGAGCAAAAGCAAGCCGGGCTTGTAAAGGAGAGAAGCCTTATTAAAACACTTTTCAGCTGCAACCAAGTGCACGGCGAGCTCTCCTGACAAGAGAAAATGACTTTTAGAGATGCCCACCTTTTCTAAAGAGCAAAGTTTCCGCTTAGAAGAACCCAGAGGAAGTAGTATATTAAGCATCTGAAATGTTTATAGATCTTCCCTTTTATGTTTCTTCTGTGAGGAGGAGTTTTAAAAAGAAAAGAAGCCAGCCTGTGATATCTGGCAAATGTTAGTGATAACCTGAGTTTGGATAGGTAAATTTACTCCCAGGGGATTAAAAAAAAAAAAAAAAGGCCCCAAGTGCAGGTAATGAATAGACCTGTTACTGCGGGCCTAGGTCAAGGTGAAGAAAGTGATTTGGAGATGCACTTCTGCGGCTCTGCCCACTCCTGCCAGAGTGCAAGTAAGCCTTCTGCTAAATCAGGGCGCGCAGGATCTCAACGCAAACCCCTCTTAGCAGTTTGTCATCCGCCTGTTCTGTGGAGCATCCAAGGACATCACTTGCATCCTTCTTGTGATTGCTCTGTGTTCTATACTTAGAAGAACCACTGTTGCACAAAATATGGTCCCCTGACTGTTCTGGAGGTGCTTTATGTCCTTCTCAATAAGACTTCAACCCTTTATATCACAATTTTTAGGAGGTTTTTAGTTGTTTCCTTTAATATGTCTGCAGAATACACAAATCTGTATACTGTGGGTTCCTACTTTATACATGTGTAGGGTGGACTTCCAGGCAGCTGTACTGCTGACTAGGGCCAGCAGAGACCATGGTGATGCATGGATGGGTGGTCACAGGAGGCATCGGGTCACATGGGCTCAGCTCTCATTTCTGACACTTGGCTTGAAGACCCTTCCTCCAACTGTCTTTCTAATCCTGACAGGCAGTTTTCCAATGTTTGTGGCACTCGTTATTTTAAAGATGTATTTTAGATTCCAGCCATGAGCAAAATGCATCCTCAGTTTACCTCCTCCTGTGAGCAGCTCCACCCGTCTTGAATCCTTCCCGACCCACACTCTCATGTCTCTGCAGCCCTGCATGGAGGCTCCAGGCCAGACAAGGCTACCTCCTCCCTGCAGCCACTCAGGTTACCCCAGCTAGCAGCCCCCATTTCCTGCAATACGTGGGCTTGAGTTCCCATGCAGCCTCCCTCCCTTGACTCACTCTGTAAGCAACATGTGAGGCCGTAAGGAAAATGAGAGTTTCAGGGCGTTCTTCCACCCTCTTCTCACACACACAATCCTTCACACACCTCGGCTGATGGGCGAAAGGAGGACAACATTTCCACAAGTTTAATAGAGATCCTTGCTTTTAAGAACCCACACCTATCAGAACGCAATGGCACACACCTGTAAGCTGAGAACTCTGGGAGGCTGAGGAAGGAGGATTACAAATTGGAAACTGGCCTGGGTGATTTAGAGATATCTGTCTCACAATTTAAAATTTTAAAAGGGCTGGGAACATAGCTCACTGTGAAGGCCCCATGTTCAATCCTCAGTAACAAAACAAAACAAAGCAAGTACTCCCCTCCTCCTGGGGCTTTACTGTTGTGCGGTGGGGAAAAGCCCCATGCTCTGGGGGAGGGGCCTTGTTTCTTCTCCAGCTTGCTCCTTTTGACCTTGAGGGAGAGGCCTGACATGTCCCAGCCTCTGCTTGCCCACCTGTTCAACAGGAATGAAGAATGCTCCTGTCAGTAAGTGTGAAGGCCTTTTACCAACTGCTAAGTGCTGCTTATGGCTACTCTTGGTGTTAATGCCTGATGGTACCACAGGGGTCTGTTAAGGTAGCCTGTTTTTTAGATAATTGACCAGCTGTTTTAAAATCATCTTCTAAAGAGTCCAGAAACCTTTTATTTTCACAAAAATTTTTGGGGGGGGATCAAAGTAATGCATACTTATTTTAACAAATGCAAACAATAGCTAGCTCCCCACTCCCCGCCCCCCCCAAAATAACAATTTAAAATATTCCTAATAGGAAATAACAGTATTTGTGGATATAAAGACATGGAAGGAAACTGGGCTGCCTGTGGCCAGGACTAGCTGGATAAGGCAGAAGATGCGGAGTAAGGAAGAGGCACTATAAAGGAAAAAGGAGGGACAGAGAAAACGGACCATGTGAAGGGGGGGGGTCCATGCCTTAGCTCAGGTGGTGAGATAGAAGTCATTTATTAGCAACACCTTCCTCCTCCCATCTTTGGGAACAACTTTAAAGGAAATTTACCCTGTTTGTGCCTTTGGAGGAGGGGCTCTACAGGACCTGTAGGGCCTGCTCAGCTCTGCACAAAGGGGAGGCTTGAGGACAGGTAAAATCCCTACAAGAGACCCCGATATTTTAGAGTTTAGGTAGCTCCCTGCAGGTAATACAAGAAGTCTCTGCTCAGCATGATCATGAACGTTGTTCATCTTTGCTCCAAGAGGCAGAGAGTTTTGAAGAAACTGTAGTGCAGGTTGGTGGTTTTGAATCCAGTTTTTCTTCCTGTCAGTGTTTTGTCTTGATCGCAAGGATGGTTTATGCCTCCTGTGTTTAGGAAGCACAGTTATAGTTACCAGGACCAGAGTTGCACACCATGAATAGTTTCCAGTGGAAATTTTGCTTGATTTTGAATACATGTCAAATCCAAGAGTATTAAAATGGGAATTACTCTATCTTCCCCTTGTTAAATAGTCAATGGTGGCTCTTTACCCATATGGAGCCCCAGACAGAGCAGCCCTCAAGTGTCCTTCAAGAGTGGAGGGCCGGGGATTTAGCTCAGTGGTTCTGCCACCTGCCTCACAAGCGCAAAGGACTCGAGTTTGATCCCTGGCACCAAAAAAAAAGAGTGGAGTCACATCAGCTCTTCCCCGGCATTCTGAGTTGCAGACAGTGTTTCTGGTGTTACTAGTAGAGCTGGAGAGAGGACTTCAGTCCCTGAGAAGGAAGACATCGGTGACCTCCGATTACAGCATGTCCTTATTCTAACAAATCTTAGCAGCCATTGCAGGTAGTCATCTGTATATTACCTTTTAAACACAATTTGAAATCTCATATGTTGCAGACAAAAACACCTAATCAGCTCAAAGATCCAACTGTTGGGAGAACAGAATGCATTTATCTATGACAATACAGATTTTAAAAGCACATCTTGATAAAGTATTACAATGACAAATTTTAAATCTCTGATTATTATATTTACTTTCTTCTTTGTAAAAAGTTTGCCATAGTTGTGTCTATTTTTAAAAATTGTAAACTTCACAGATTAATTTTTAGTGGAATAGGTAAATAAAGCACTCATCCCATCAGGTTCTTTTGCAGTCACTGCCCATGTGCACCCTGTCAGTGGCTGCCTGTGCGAACTGAGCAGTGTGGTGTGCAGTGGTCAGGAGCTCTCCAGGAGCTGCCTTCCCATTCCCTGGCTGGAGCCATCCACCCCAGCTAGGACTTAGGGACTCCTGCTAGGGTTGCCACCGAACAGTTCCATGATGGCTGAATGAACCCAGGCAGTGCCTGTTGTCTGTGGAGTATGGAAGGACTGGAGTCAGCTAGGAGACCCATGCCTCCCTCCCTGCCACCCTTTCCCAGGATGCCATAAGAGATTTCACAGATCCAGCGCATGCTGGTCCTCTGGATTATTCCAGTTAGGTAATTCCTTGGCCCTGAGCACCAGCCCAGGGATGAGTCTGTCTCAGCAGCACTTGTAGCTCTAAGCAGGTCCAGACTGTCTCGGAAGATAAATCTCCACATATCTTTACCTATGACAGGATTTTCTAAATCTGTACTAGCCATCTTTTGATTATTCAAAAGCAGCTGGGTATGGTGACATGCAGGAGGCTGAGGTAGTAAGATCGCAAATTTGAGGCCAGCCTAGGCCCCATCTCAAATTTTTAAAACAAATAAAAGGGCTGGAAATGCAGCTCAGTGGTAGAATGTCCTTGGGTTCCATCCCCAGTACTGAAAAAAAATCCTGAAAATCCCCAAGTCAAGCATCCCTTCTTTTGTTGTTGAGGGTAATAAGCCTAGAGGGGAAAGGCTCCTTGTTCAAGGTCATAAATCTCTATGAGCCCCAGCGTAGGGGCTGGATCTCCACCTCTCATTCTATATCCACTTCCCTTTTCCCTACACAACAAGAAACACGTCCCTGCTTTCTATACTCCTCTTTTACATTCAGAGCTCAGTTTATTCCATGCTTAAAATCTTCACTGGGATGATTTTTTTTAAATACAAATTTAGCAAAACACTAAATTGATTTTAGTACCTTATAACATTAGAGGAACAATAAGAGAGAGTCACCACGAGTGCTATTATGTTAGGACAGCTTTATTGCAAGTAGCTGAAAAAGCAACTACAGCTCTCATAGGAAATACAAATTATGGATGACTTAACAGAAAAGTTGTAGAGGCACAGTTTGATCCAGGAGACCTAATCTACTGGTTCTCTTTGTTTTGACTTCATATTATTCTCTATATCTGCTCATAAATCTTCCCAGTGTAAGTCCAAAAAGTAGAATGGCCTCGTTCAACACTCCCAATAAGTCCCAAGCTTGGGTAGCACTGGTGCTACTTTGAAGTACCCTCAGGAAGTGTGGCAATGGGGTCCTACTTATTCCTGAGCCAGTTGCTGTGGCCAGAGGAGGAGAATGGTATGGTTGGGTCAGCCCTAAGTTAGACAAGCATCCTTGCAGCTAGAGTGAAGTGGATGAAGTCCCTTTCTCCAGCCTCCTCCTGCTCCTTCCACTGATGATTGGCATCCTCAAGGGTGCCAAACTGCTCTGCCTCGGCAGCGTCTCCTGCCCTCCACCTGCTTCCCTGCTGGACCTTCCTGGCATAGCTCCAGGGGTGCCCCCCACTATGTTCTCTCTTAGGGTCCTCTCTCTCTTGAAGTACAGCACAAAACAGACTGTCCATCTGTCTGTCCCTCTCACTAGATTTGGTGAGGACAGAGACCTTGATATTCACCAGGAAGTCCCTGTGGCTGGCTCACAGCACGCCTGCAATGATGTTTGATGTATAAATAACCACACAGTAACATCTTGGGCCCAGGAGAGCCTGCTTGGCTCAGAGAGCTTTGGGACCCAGCTGATGCCTTGCAGAGCATCCTAGTGACACCCGAGGAGAGAACATAGGCATAGTGGGTGCCTGGCACCAACCTCCCACTGCCCAAAGCCGGGAGGCCCTTCCTTCTGGCCTGGGACTGGGTCTTTTGCCAGCTGCCTGGATCCCTAGCCTTCCTTGTCTGTGGTTTTGTAGAGAGTGTAATAAGTGTGCAATAAATTCCTATTTTGAAAGGATGACCTTGTTCCCAATTTGAAGAAGCAGATTTTAATCCATGAATAAACTTTCCTAAAAGCAAAGATTTACTTCCTATGTTAGAGCTTCAAAGATGCTCGAGGTTTAAAAAATGTCCCTGACTATCTCTTTAGGGAAATTTGCTTTGGAAAGTGAATAAAAAATGTAAAAGAAATACAAATTTGGAAACAACACAATGTATGGTTGCATCCAACCTTTGCTCACACCCTGTCCCCTAGTCTCAAGCGGGTACAGTCCTATCTTATCTTGTGGTAGGAGTGGCAGCTTCTGGGGACTGTCTGACAATAACAGAGTAATTTGTTCTGGTCAAATTCAGGTTGACTGTTCACAGGCTAGACCCCAAAAATGCCTCCTAGCTGTAAATGCTGGAAGGGAGCTGAAAAATCAGACTCCAACGGCAAATGTGTGCCGAGCATCTGAGAAATGAAAATCAGACCGCTGCACTCATCACTCATGGGTTGGGCTTGCAAACCATCTTCTCTCTCTTTCTGCCCCCAATTCCATGTCATGGAGCTAGTTTTTCTCTTATTGGAGGATTTCCCATGTGTTTGCTAAAGGGAAATCACCACCAAGACATCTGCAAAGTCTCCAGGCTTTGAAGTATCTGCAGGAAACTCTGCAAAGAGAAATCCAAAGTTGCTTTGGGTGGGGGGATGTATTGTTTGTTTGGTTTGCTTTAAAGCAGGTGGTGATGAAGCCCAAACCCCTCATGCTGGCACCACCGGAAATTAAAGTGCCTTCATTTTTCTCCTACCTGAGACAAGAGCTTTTCAATTTTTTTCTTCTAATTCAAAGAAAGGAAAAATAGAAGCACACATAGATGAAAGTGTTGAATTTCCCCTTGTTCAAATGAAAATTCAGATGTTGGTATGCTTTTAAAGTATACATATATATATTTAAATTCATAATACTTTTACTATATGCAGCATTAAAGAATTTTCAAAGTGCATTTGTGTGCATCAGCTTATATGATCTTTGTGTGTGTGTGTGTGTGTGTGTGTGTGTGTGTGTGTGGTACTGGAGATTGAACCCAGGGTGTCCTCACTGAGCTACATCCCCAATCCTGCTTATTTATTTATTTTTAAAGAAAGGG